CGGACAGACGGGCGGACATAGCTAAATCGACTCAGAAAATAATTCTGAGCCGATTGGTATACTTTAAGATGGGTATAGGACCAATATTATTGTGCGTTACAAACATCAGCACAAACCCAATATACCCTCCCCACTAAGGTGGTGTAGGGTATAAAAACTTATTCATTTACTCTTAAGTTTTATATCCAAAATTACAGATCATTTTGCTACTTGTTTTATAATATTTCTTAACAAAAAATTTATTTGTATCAACTTACCTTCATACATTTGTGCATATTGTGGAAAGCCTGCAGCTCTAAGCCATTTACACGCTTCAACGGCTTCAATTTCTGTAAAAAAGAAAAAATATAATAAATAAAATAAAAATATATTGAAAAAACTATTTGATCATAAATAATAAAGTGTTATTCAGTGTTTTTATAAAAAAAAAACAAAATAAAGTTATATCTACTTTTGTTAACGACTCACTCACTCAGTTAGTCACTATATAAAAATTGCATTTGAATTGAATTTTATTGTTATTGACAAAAGCCAATTTTATTTAACTCGCTAGCTTTAAAAGTTTTGTGTTTCATACATGTGTGATTAAACACCCAGCAAAAACTTTCATTACCTTGTAAGGGGTTAAAATGCTAAAATTTACTTACACAATAGCATTTTAAGTCATTATTTTAACACAGCCCAGCAGTTCGGTCGGACAGCCCCGAACTCCCTATTTGACCTACCACATAGGATTATACCTAGCCACTAACTGTCCAGGTGATTAGCTACTTTAACATGTGCTTTCCTACGAGGTAGTCAATCGTCACCCCATAGATTGCGAAAAGCCAGACAAGTGCTTTTTAAGTGTCCCCTCTCTCGCTTACAAAGGGGACACTAAAGTGACGATTATCTTTACCCTTGTTTACAAAGAGTACATCCGTGACGAAAGACGAATTAAAGCCAACCAGGTGGTTAGACGTTAGTGGAAATCACTGTCTTTTTCGGATGCATAGACTCTTTGTCGAACTGCAGGGAGTGTTGTCATTGGAGACCAGTAATTACCACAAACTATTACAGCTGAATAAAAAAAATAGTCATTGTAAATCGCGGAAAGATGATTAATGAATTAGAAAGTATTTATAGAACACATTATTAGTAAGATTTTATTAGACTACTTCTATGTACTTCAGACGATATGTAGTAGTCATTGATAAGTATAATATTAGATAAGTAATTGCAATTGAAAGTTTTTGCTGGGCATATTTGCAGGGAACCAGTGTGAATAGTAACAATCCTTATAAGTTTGATACAAGTTCATTAACTTTGTAAAATGTTTTGGAAGTTTATATTTAGGTGAAGAAGATAATAAAGTTATTATATAAATTATTATAAAAAGTATTGTTGTTGTATAGGCTGGCTATTCACTTGATTTTAACCAGACATTTTCAATTACTTTCTAAAGATTCTATCCAAAAATTTGGTTGAAAATTCACGCTGCCTCATTTATCAATGTCTCTGGTCCTAAAGTAACACTCTTAAGACATATAATAGAGGGGTATCGGAAAAATATTTGGGTTCTTATTAGATTTTATGGCAGTCTAGGCACGTCTGTCTATCCGTCCTTCTGTCAGCATGCTGAAAACCTGATAGGGCGTAAACGAAAAGAGCTAGACGACTGAAGTTTCCACAAATTGTCTAAATTGATATAATAATGTCCCCCTAAAAATACTTTTTCCTTTCATAAAAAATAGAGTGATGTAATTTGAACGAACAACTGTTTAACAAGTTTCATTAGTATTGGGCTATAACTGACTCGACCTTATACATAAACCCTCTTACAGAAAATGGCTTAATGGTAAAAAAATCATTTAAAAATCAAAGTATTAAGAAAAGTTCAACAAAAATGAGTAGATATTAGTCACGCTACCGACTCCTGAGTTAGGACCAAAATTGACTCCAATTCCTATGAAACCACGTCTTCTGAAAATCACCCAGAGTATATAAGATCCATTATAGTGCAATATAACTCTTGTTAAATTTGTAAAAAGGACATTTACTCAAGTACAACAAACATACTTTTTAAAATATATTTTGATAAATAATTTTCACAAATAAATATCTAAATATGTAAGTATTGTATTGATTAAATAATTCTTAAAATTCTTCGTGAATACCCCTAATATTGTCAAAGTTTAAAAACATTTCTTTCCTTTTACTAACTTCAATAATTCTAAAAGAATTCATTATTATTAAATCTATTATAATTATGTAACATTTCACTTAACATTAAGAAGAAGGGAGTAATTACAGTTGCCACAAATTAAATTACAATACCAGAGATTTAATTATTTCCACAAAATATTTTTACCTTAAGCCACCAAAAGGAAAAATTCCATTTACAGCTCAAATTGTCTATAAACATATTTAGAAAAAAGGTAAATTCTTGGTAACATTGTAATAAATAATAAAAACACAGACAAATTTTGCTACCACTTCCCCTCTCACTAAACAACAATCATCATCTTCATTTAGGATTTTTACAACAAAGTGTAATAAATAATTTACATTTCAAATCTTTTACAAAATTACCTTTCTTACCCTTAGTTAGATTTGTAGCCGCGTATAAGCTTGTTATAACCTATTTGTTTAATAAAAAAATAACATTTTTCTATACACATTGCCTAGTAACAAAATCAATGAGGGAAAAAATAAGTTATTGGCATTTAATTTCCTTTATTTTTCTACAATATAAATTCATTCAAGGGTATGGATTCGTTATTTGGCTGGTGACACATGTTGCAAGGATTTCGTTTAGCTGTGTGGTATCCTTGAAAACATTCTTATACACACAGAATCACTTTATTTATAAGAGTAAAAAAAAATGTTCCTTAAGCTTTACAAAAACAGGCCAATTTTTGTTAGAAACAAGAAAATTTACATATTATACTATTACACGAGTTCATCTACATTCATATATGTATATGCACATAATGTATAGAAAAATAGATGCTGCTCTAAAACATATTGACAAAGTTTTTCAGTGCTTTTGTATATTTTTTATTGATTTTTAATCAATGTATGAATGAATTTGCTTTAGTTAAAAATACATCCATTCAATAGAGTCATTTAAGTGTAAGTGTGTGTTTGTATAAAAATACAAGTGTGTATTAGAGCGGATAGATGATGATGTCCTTTTTATTTATACATGTGTATATGTAGTTGGCAGTCAAGCAAGCTTATTAGAAAAAAGGGAAAAATGTCTATTTTAAAAAGACATTTTCTCAATTGATTAATTTTTATCTATAACAAGTTGTTTAGTTACAAATATACAATACCTATTGCCTTTATATATTGCTTTTTTACAAACTTTGTATGCCTTTTATCTGTTAAACCCTTTCATAAGCAGCAATCGTTTCCAGGAAAAATATTTACAAAACTTGAAATAGTTGAATGATGTAAATATAAAGATATTTAAAAGAATTTCTTCATCATATCTGGGTTTCGATATATCGTGTCCAAAATTTGGAAAAAAGTTCAGAAAAAGTTTTATTTAAAGAGAAAATTTATCAAAAATCTTATTTACACAGAGTTTTTCATGAAATTGTATTGAATCCTTCCTTTAACATTAGCATCCCATGCACATTTTAAAATAATCGGTTTAGCGGTTTAAGTGTAATTGACTAAAAATTAAAACTTCGGCGCCACCTGCCTTAGTACCTGAGTTTATCGATTACGAATAAACATTACTCTTTTATATAGATAGATAGATAGATAGATAGATAGATAGATAGATAGATAGATAGATAGATAGATAGATAGATAGATAGATAGATAGATAGATAGATATATAGACAGACAGATAGATAGATAGATAGATAGATAGATAGATAGATAGATAGATAGATAGATAGATAGATAGATAGATAGATAGATAGATAGATATATATATAGATAGATAGATAGATAGATAGATAGATAGATAGATAGATAGATAGATAGATAGATAGATAGATAGATAGATAGATAGATAGATAGATAGATAGATAGATAGATAGATAGATAGATAGATAGATAGATAGATAGATAGATAGATAGATAGATAGATAGATAGATAGATAGATAGATAGATAGATAGATAGATAGATAGATAGATAGATAGATAGATAGATAGATAGATAATAGATAGATAGATATGAACAGACCGATATCTAGCGCGCAATCAAATAGAACGTTTTGCCTTGCAAGCATTGAGAACGACTGTATTCGTTCGACCCCATTCAGATATTGTTTTACATTTTAGTTAAGTGAATTATTCATCATTGCCTCATAGTCCTAATTACCAAAAGCTTTGGCCTATAATTCTGGAATACACAAAGAGCTCTATTAAGAGCTTTCATTCTCTATATACATATACTCACTACTGTATAAAAAATAAACAAAACCAATCAGAGATCTCATATATTACTCTCAGCCGATGCCTCATCTAAATGTTGTATGCTCAATGCTGTACAACAAATAAACAGAGATCTTATAGTATATCAATCTCTGCCGATGCCTGATTCAATCTCTAAAAATAAATTAATCAAACAAGTTATTGAACATACTAAACTAAACCAGTCAGTGATCTCATTCGTCACTCTCGACGCCAGATCAAACATTTCCTTTAAAACACACTATCTATCGAACATTTTTTTTAGAGTAATTATTAAAAATTTTATCTAAAACTAACATTTTTTGAAAGTTCTCTATAAACATTTTCTATAATACAAAAATGCATTCAAGTTAATTATCAAAAGCAACATGTTTTTATAGAACCATGTTAAACATGAAACCATGTATGAAAATTTTCAAAAGCGGAAGGAAATGGGTTAAGCAAAACAACAAGTTGTTTTGGGTATTTTTTATAAAAAAAACTGTATGATCCAGTAACATGTGTATGTTAAACATGCATGTGTATTTATATAAGAAACATGAAAACTTTTTTATGTTTTTATTTAGCTGGTATGAGGAGGGGGCATGTGACAGAAACTTTTTCTAAACATTATTTTGTTTTGTTTTAGACATATTTCTATAGGTCCATCACCTTTTGTTAAAGTACTAGTAAACACAGTAAATGTTTAAGCACATTTAAGTATTGTCTTTTCTTATTTTAAAATAAATTTTCTTTTCTACAATTTATTTTTCTATTCTAACCTGAAAACCAGAAAAAAACATCAAACTCATCATCGTCATCATCATCTTCACCACCATTACATTGTTTTTAAGAGTTTGTCAGTTTGTTTAGAAACTAAATAAAATAATACAAAGATTCTATTATAGTTTAACACACAAACACTCACACTCTTAT